CCCGGGTCACGGCTCCCCCACTCACCTGTTCCCAGAGACATCCAGGACCTGCAGCTTGTTCAGGTTGCCCAGCTCCTGCGGCAGTCGCAGCAGTTTGTTGTCCCGCAGCGACAGCACGCCCAGCTTGTAGCACTTGCCGATCTAGACACACACACACAACATGACAGGTTCAGAGGTCAAGATCACGCTTACAGCCCTCGCCACTTTGCCATGCCTTACTAATCTTCGAGAGATGCATGTGAGCCATTCTAACACAATAGCAAATCATGACAAAAATAATTGCAAGATGAGAAAAATGATTGCAAAATGTTTTATTCCTTCTGCACTAAAATGAGATGCTTGATAAAACTCATCTCCACACACAAATCAAACTCACGCCCTCTGCCGTCAATCATGAAGTACCTAACCGCTACACCACAGGCACTAGTAAGAAGTGAGTAATCCAGTTAGGTGAATGAAAATTTGATTTGACCAGAAACATGTTTCCACATAATATTGCCAAATGAGTTAAGAGTGTAATAAATTCCCTCTTTCTGGAGTATTTAATAATTGCTTTACATAAGTCTTTAGCATATATATATATATGATAAGCACTCATTTAATTTGAATGCCGTTAAGTCATATAAAGAGGTGAGATCCATCTCTGACAGGAAAGATCAAAACGTAGGAAACCTAGAAAACCCCTACAATAGGCAAAAAATTTAAGAATGCTTTCTCGTCTGATAATATCAACTGACACCATACATTTCATCAAAAGCTAGGCAAAGGAACAGGACATCAGATAATATCAATAACTCCAAATGCCCTCAAATTGACAAGCACCCGATTCCACCACGTCATCAAACATTGGCCGTACCTCCACCGGTATTTCCGTCAATCGGTTGCGGTCTACGTTCAGATTGTGCAGGTTCTTCAATTTGCCGATAGAGTTTGGAAGATCCTGGGGGGAAAAAAAGGCAAATGCAGAGTTTTTAATTTTAGTTTTTGTTTTAGTGAGAGTTTTGCCGAACTTGTAAAACACAGAAAGGTCATACAAGTGCCAATGATTAGAAGTGTTACTACAAGAGAGTAACATACAAAGAAAAAGAAGGAGGAAAGATAGCGGTGAGCTTAGGACGTTCATACTAGACCCACAAAATAAACCACCTACAAGTGAAATACACTTAACTACAAACCGTAGCCATAACCAAACAAAATTAAAAATAAACAGCACAATTTTTTCCTCACTCTGCAAGCAAGATCAAATACGATTATTAATTCTTTTTGAGATGATCACAAAAAACAGTATGCTATTAACGTCGGGTCTCCGTCATCTTTTTAAATGACGACGACGAACGACTGCTATTCTAAAAGTTTTTTTTAATGTACTTGAAACACATGAGAGAAGAGTGAACATAGAATATCTCCACCTGTCAATATTTCGCCTTCTTCATTCCAGCATTAATTACAATTCAGATATTTAACATACTCACACTGCACTCATACCATACATACACAGGTGTAATACAGCAATACCAAACCTCGAAAACTGAAGGACAACCCCCCCCCCCCCCCCCCCCCCCCACCTCCCAAAAAAACCCAACAACAAACAACCAAACACTCACCGACAGAAGATTCTCGGTCAATATTAATTCTTGCATATTTTCACAGCTGAAATAGAAAATCATTTAAAAAACAGTTACCTTCGTAAATATAGTCAAAATGCAGTTCATTTCTAATGAATTTTGAAAGGCGATAAAAGGAGATAAAGGAGATAAAGGAGATAAAGGAGATAGCTATTTGAGAGGGAAGAAGGGGCAAAACAAACCAGAACACCTGCCTGCCACCCACTTAAAACTTCTACAACCCATCAATTCAATCCAAATATACGTATCCTACACCCCTCCTCATAACACAGAGATGACAACTAGTTTGAGGAAAGAGAAGGAGAACTTATAAAACAATAGTTATTTACTGCTGGGAAAGAGCAAAGAAGAAAAAAAGAGGGAGAAAAGAAAGAAAGAAAGACAGAAAGAAAGAAAGAAAGAAAGAAAGAAAGAAAGAAAGAAAGAAAGAAAGAAAGAAAGACAGAAACGGCAAAGGGAAAGTGAAGAAACAAGACACCCTCCAACCACCCTCTTGGTTGCCTGTAAAAATGATATGTCGTAGTCAAATATAATAAACATAATGAGGATAGCCTCAAACATGGCTCATATAATAATATAACCAATATAAATGGTAGGTGTTAGTCCCATCTACGCCGTTTGGAACACTTAGGAGGCGGGCTACTTCGACTCTTTGTTTGATTGTTTTAGTAAGAGTTTTACGGCACTCGCAACACAAAAAGGTTATAATATAAGTGCCGAAGATAAAAGGTGTTACAAGAGAGTAACAAACACAAAAAAGGAAGGAAGAGAGATAAAGACGAAGGATGTTTGATAGGAAAGATGAAGCAAACCACACCAGAGCACCCACCAACCACCCACACTTCGACTCTGCTATAATGTACAGTACATGGATGTCACCAGCTTACCTGCCAATTTGTGGACTGAGCGCCAGGAGACGGTTCATGTCTACTTTCAGAATTGTTAGTTTCTTGAGCAATCCTGGGGGGGTGGAAGAAAGGTCAAAACTGTGATTGTACGAGAACAGTAAACAAAATATCATCACATATAGAAAGAGAAAGCAATAAGTAGAAGAAACAGGGGAACAATAAAAAGTCAACTCTACCACTGGCATACGTCACATACAGAGACGGTGTTTGATAGGAAAGAGGGGGCAGTTGAAGAAGCAGAGGAACAGAAAAAAAAGCAGGCTCTACCAGTGGCACCCTCAAACCTCCTCATCCCAGAACAGCTGCGATAAAGTAAGATGAACAGAAGCAATGGAGGCACGTTTAGTTAGTTTAGTTTTAGTAGGGGTTTTACGGCGCTCGCAACTGCATAAGGTCATATGAGCGCCAAGGGGGTGGATGTCAACAGAGAAATCCTTACAGGGAATCAGACTTACTCTGCTCACCTCTCTAGCTTTAACAGCACAAAGTCTGCTTCAACTATAAAGGCACCCCGGAAATAGGGGGTCACAAGAGTGTTGACAAAACATACAAAAGATGTAGAGGGAAAATGACGATAGCAAGGATTAGGAAAGAAAAAGCAGTGGTTCCCTGTTGTAGATCAGGCACAGTTATGAGCATGAAATGATGAATCAGCCCATTTACAATTCTCCTGTGCATAAGAATGAGAAATGTCCCCCCTTTGGGAATGGCCTAAAGACACTTCAGTCAGTGGCACCGCCCCGGGGAGAAAATGAAGGCACAGAAAAAAAAAGTAGGGTCTTCTTCTGACGCCCTCAAAGCAGCATTTGCTAACAAAAAAAACAGGCCATCGTTTTGACGCAGAATTGCCATAAGAAAAAAAGATGATAAAAACTCACTGTCGTTAGTTAATAGACACAACTACAATTGGGGACAGAAGACAAACCCACTGCTCAGTGTCAGACACAGTCAAATGGCGCCTTGCCGGGTCTTACACTAATCTGTCAAAATGCTCAGAATAATAAAATAACAGGAATTTAACACCAAAAAAAAAAGGAAAATTGTTTTAAAAATATATATTATAAGGAAAGAAAGAAAGATAGATAGAAAGATAGAAAGAAAGAAAAAAAAGAAAGAAAGAAAGAAGGGGTCAAAAGAAAAAAAAGAAAGAAAAAAAGAGGAAAACAACTGGGTCATCCCTGCATAACAGTGGTGGTGGTGTATACAAACCTATTCCCTCGGGGAAGTACTCGAGGCCGTTCTGCGAGAGGCACAGGTCGGTGAGTCCCGCCAGGCCGCCGATCTCCTCGGGGAGGTAATCCAGCTGGTTCTCTGACACGTCCAGGATGGACAGCTTCTTCAGGTTGCCGATCTCCTACAACAACAGCAGCAACAAATTTTTTGTTAAAAAGGTTTTCATTTTTGGGGTGTTTTAATAGGATTTACAAGTTGGCTATCTCGCACAAATTTTTTTAAGGTTTTCATTTTTTGTGTTTTAATAGGATTTACAGGTTGCCTATCTCCTACATAAGCAACATTTTTTTTTTTGAAAATTGTTCATTTACTTTTTTTTAAAATAGAATTCACAAATTGCCTTGCCTATCTCCTACAAAAACAACTTTTTTTTTTAAGGGCTTTCATTTTATATAGGATTTACAAGTTGCCTATCTCGTACAAAAACAAAAACAATTTTTTTTAAAAGGTTTTCTTCTGTTTTTGTTTCAATAAGCTTCTTCAGGTTGCTGATCTACAAAAACAACATTTTTTTGTTTAGGTTTTCTTCTGTTTTTCATTTAATACACTTTACAGGTTGGCTAGAGAGAAGCAGAGGAGGGAAACAGCAGTAGAGAGAGATAGGGGAGGGAGCAACTTTTCGTTTTCGTAAGAGTTTTACGGCGCTTGCAACACAATAAGGGGTCATATAATATAAGTGCCGAAGATTAGAGGTGTAACAAGAGAGAGTAAAAAACATAAAAAAGAAGGAGGAGAGAAAAGGACCATAGAAGTTTGATAGGAAAGAAGGAGCCAAGCACACCGGAGCACCCTCCAACCAACCACGGGGTCAACTTACACCGGGCAGTTCGGTCAAGTAGTTACAGTCCAGCCATAGCTCCTCCAAGGCGGGGAGAGACCCGATGGACGGTGGCTGGGGAAACAAATTGGTTTGTTCAGCGTTTGTCACAGTTTTTACCGTGCTTACATCACAAATAGAGAAATTTTTAAAAGACAATACGTGCATATAAATGTATACAAAAATGTCCTGGGGGGGGGAAAAAAAAAAAAACCAAATTTTCTCCATAAGTACCCATACAAAACAAAGACAAGCAGTCAGACTAAAAGTGGCCACGTCACCATGAACCAAAAAAAAAACAAATAAGACTAAAAAGATGAGAAGAGACATGCACGCACCCACAGGCATACAAACTGCCCCAGAAACAACCCTCTCCC